AGAAAATCACAATAATCTATAGACTGAATGTGAACTAAAGTAATAACAAAATGATAATACCGAAAAATCTCTAACAGTCTAAGATGCTGGATGTTTTACCTTTTGGCTTTACAGTTTAAGCAGTTTAAAAATTAAATCTATCACTTTACTAAAAAATGCAGTTAGTTGGCTATTATGTTTGGGTTTCAAACTGGCACCTGGAGAGTTTAGTGGTCAGGTCACAGACTTTGATGTTCCTTCAGTCATTCCTGAGCAGGTTTTGTGAGACCAAACACGTAGGTGTCAAAGTAACACCTATGTCAATATCAAAAACGCTGCACTGTAAAATGATTAGAAGTGTTACTCAGTTTCTCAAAACACACTTAGCTGCTCATAGGTGCTCATGGAAAAATGTTTTAGAAACTCGTATATTAAACTTACCAGACCTGTGACCAAAGGTGTGTGTGAATGTTACTGTTTCTGAAGGGAAACTCATGCAGTAAAAGTGGTGAATGTTACAAGAAACTGTCTGAGCTTGATAAACTGGCACTCTATAATCTGCCTCACTTTTCATTTTAAGAAAAGAGAAGAGTGGCTACAAAGGCTTTGTTGTTTTCAAAAGTGCATGACAAATACCCACTGCCTTTAAAATCAGCGTCAAGGAAGGTTAGAGTTTATTTATGTTTGAAAACTTAACTTTAATGGTTCGTCAAATTTATACCATTTTGTACAGCCAGCTTGCTGAATATACTTAATGTGAGCTACAGCCCTAAAAACAACTTGACGTAAAATCGTAACGAAAAACGTTAGATATTAGAAATGCGAGAGACTGAATAGAAAAAAACACAGACGATCCTGACAGTTAAAAATAAATGGCATAAAACACCAGAAAAACCACGAAAGAAATGGCAATTTAGTTTAAAAACACAAACGTAGCTTTGATTTTAATCATTTTATTGACATAAAAGCACGGGAAAATCACGAAAGAGATAGCAGTTTAATTTAAAATAATATTTTTTTTTAAAAAAAGTTTAAAACAATTATGCTGCATTTTAAACACTGCATCATCGGAAAGTTGGTCTCACGTTTTTGAGAAACGTATATCTCCAAATTAACCGCAGTCCTGGGCGTCAGGATCATCAGGAAGGACGTGATAAGCATCTGTTTATGCTTTCTGAGAATGCCACCGCATCTCCTTTAGTCCGTGCCTGGGCCAGACCCACGCCCCCCGGCTGAACTTTTTCCAGGATCACGCAGTTGACCCGGTGATGTCCAGAGGAGCAGCTCTCTGAGCCTATCGCGTATGTAGCAGCGGTTCGGTTCGTGATAACTGCGTGCTGATTGGCCAGAAAGGCTCGAATGATCCGCTCGAAGTTCGTGCACCCGGTGGGGGTGAATGAGACGATGAGCGCAGCCTATGAGGGAAGGAAGCTGGAGGATGGGTTTTATGATGCTCGCAGTGAGAAAATGAATTCGTGCTGAGCTGGAGCAAACTTATTTAAACTGGTCTGGTGATGAGACTAAAACACAGAGGGACTTAAATCATCCAAATCTGATTAATAGCTACAGTAAGTTTTACACAGTTTGTCCTATTAATGTTATTACACGATAGCTGAAAAAAAAATCGAAAAAACATTCAGAGATGATTTGATGGAATATTTTTTATGCATTTGATGTAAGTCTGGCTTGAAGAGTTGCTTTAACAGGCTCAGTCATAAATTCATAACGATGTCAATTCCCTTTTGTGGTTTTAATTAACTTGTGTCTCAGTGTGTTGCAGCATTTCCTTTAACAGATTATATTCTAAAGTTGTTGTTTTCCCCCCTCCAGGTGTCACAATCTGTGGTAAACTGGTCCTGAGCTTCAAGTGAGTCCAAAAGCAGCATCAGCAGGGGCGATGGGAGGTGGAGGACAGCAGACTGAGCCTGCAGAGCCAGGCAGCGGGAAAGCTTCAGGTGTTTACACCTGGGAGGAGGTGCAGAAACACTGCAGCAGAAAGGACCAGTGGCTGGTGGTCAACCGAAAGGTTTATAACATCACCCAATGGGCCAAACGGCATCCAGGAGGGTCTCGGATCATCAGCCACTATGCTGGAGAGGACGCCACGGTAACATCTCTAACCTCTCTTAAAAAACAAAAATTAAAAATAAAATCTCATTGCATGCAAATAAAGTTGTTCTTTTTTTTTTTTTTACTTCCAACACATATTGAATATAATCAGATCTTTACTCACTTTTATCAATAGATCAACAGCCTCAGATAAATAATAATATATCACATATTACAAGTTCATTATTCATTTTATTAGAAAAAGCTAAATTTAAGAACCTGTGTGCACTTCATGTTCATGTCACCTATGTAGACACAGAAATGTACAGAAGTGGTCCTCCTCTCTCTGACATTTAGTTATGAAGAAGGTTTGGTACATTTTTTATTTATTTATTTTTTTTACAGTGTCACTCTGAACTTTGAATCATTGCAGCTTTGTGCTTTGGATAATTTTCACAAAGCATGATCCAAATTCTGCCAAGTTTAATTGTCAAGCAAATATCTTTACATCTGATTCTAAAATGCTTTGAAGAGTTTACGGTAAACTCAACGGCTACAAGGTTTTCTCCAAGGATTGTGGCTGCAAAGCAAGCCCCCATCATCACCCCTCCACTACTGTGCTTTACTATTTTTTATGAGTTGCTTGTACGGATAAAGCTTTTTTTTGTTTGTTTTCACTCAATTGAGGTTTATTGTGCCTCAAAATCTTAGTTTAGACCACATTTCTCCAAAGAAAATTATTATTATTATTATTATTATTTTCATTTCTGGAAGACTTGATTTCTTGATTAAACTTCCAGTTAATCTGTTTTTTATGTTTTCCCACCTATGCTAGGCATTCCCATACACAGCATCTAGATGCTCATCTGAAACCCCAGACGTCTTTCATGTATGAGCTCATATCTGTCCTGAGCCACTGATAAGATAATGACCCAGCTGGCTGCTGCACATCAACTCATTCCTTTGAAAGCACCAAGCATTTCTCTATTATCCCACACATGGCTTCCGCACTTTGGCTTTGTTTTCTGTTAAATAAATAATGAGATGGTGTAATATGTCATGTCTTGTTTATCTAAGGTTTGGCTGACCTCATTAAGACTATTTAGTATGTCTATATAGAAAACCTGCTTTGGCTAAATTTCTCTTTGCCAAATCAGCAAAATTCACAATGCAATAATAGAAACAGCAAAACAAAAATCTTTATAACATTAAAATTAAATAATAATGTCTCCTTATATGTGCAACTATAATGTTATTAGTGAATGTAACAGCCTGTTGAGGTGTTTTTATCCAGTCCCTACTTTGATACAGATCTATCTTAATAAATCAGATCATCCTTGAAAAGCTAAATTATATCATTCATTCAGTTTATAAAAGTGAAACTGATATTATATAGATTTATTATACACAATGATATGCATTCAAGCATGCAAATATCTGTAAATTTAAATGATATGACTTACAACTAATGAAAACCTCCTAAAAAACAGTTTATCAAAAGATTAGATCAATGCAAATATTTTTATTGCAAAATTGCCTTATCTTGCGTACAAAATCATACGGGGGACTGTTGACGCAGCATTTGTCCGACAGACAGTCGCGTGGCTTCTCCTCCCCATAAAATGTCATTGCTAAAGAAGTTGACTTTTAGTGCCTCATGAAAGCATATTGATCTAAAGTTCAGAGGAAGTGGAAAAGTACACAAACAATAGTACAAGCAAAGCTCATTCAGAATTATAGGGTGGATTTACAATGAACTGTAACTGCATTCAATGCGACAGGAACCACCATATCTCAGAAACTGGCTACAAATGTTGTATTTCTTGCATTAGGCCACTTGTAAGGCCTCTCCTTAGCCCAATCACCAGAGACATGATTGGGCTGGGGAGAAAAAAGACAGGACGATTGTCCACAGAACTATTTTTAGATCAAAGTACATTCTGTTTTTATTTCACTTAGAAATCAAGGTCAAAGAGTCTGTAGGAGGATTGGAGAAACAGTTGTTTGATCTCTAATTTGAAGGTTTCAAGTCAGCTGTAACTTGAGGTGCCGTGTCATCAGCTACTGTTATTTTGTTATCAAGTCAAAGGTCAGAGCAGTCGTCTACCAGAAAATTTTACAGCACTTTGTGCTTCGTTGTGCTGACAAGCATTTCTGGTTTAATGACCGTGGAATCACATGCCTGATTGGCCAGCAAACTCTCCTGACTCTCTATGCGGGATCTAAGGGATCTTTGCAAGAGGAAGACCATGACGATCCAACAATGCAGATTTGCTGAGGGTCGTCTGTCACGACATGCGCTTCCTCAGTGCCACAGTAGCTCCACACAGTGATCGCCTCCATGCCGCTCCACACTGATATAAGGAAGTAATTCAATACTTGCTTCATAGGTTACTATAGTTCAGGCTTTAGATGTATTCCTAAATGAATCAAGTTTGATCTTTGTCCGGTGATGTCACGTGAACATTGGTGTGAACTTTAATAAACTCATCACCCCATGGCTAATATCTCTAAATATGAGTCAGACCAGCTGCAGTTTGTTTATGCTCTTCTTTATTGCCATTCTAGATAATAAGAAGGAAAACTTACTTAGATATGGATTGTCACCCAAGGAACATTAATTAATAGATATTCTTGTTTTTCTTTCTATTAATTATAGAAAGTAAAATCAACTCTACCAAAAACAGCTTTTCACACTCATTTGTTCCTGGCAACGTTACAGAAACATAAGATAAGCAATCTGCACTCTTTTGAATACGTCTAGAATTTGCTTATTTTTCCATTTTATTCATGTCCTTAATTAAATATGAATTAAATTCCTATTTGAGAGATATTTACATGTATTGTGTCTACAGAGTTGACTGACAACCATTCAGTTTGTGTGTTTCTTGTGATGCAAATACACACAACCCAGAACTATTTTTGTGAAATCCTGCAGTCCAAATTCTTTGTTCATGACTCATTCCAGATGTGTTTTGTTAGTCCAATTAATAAACCTCAGGCTCTTTATCTCAAATATGAACAAATGCTATGGCTTCAAATAGCAAAACCTTATTTAAAAAATCAAGAAATGGTTCATACACCATAAGTATAAACAAATAGCGCTATGTTTTGTGCAGTCCTTTAGTATATCAGCTCATTTTGGTCACTTTTGGAGGGGTAATTGTTTTTTTAAAAAAAACAATATGCATTTGCTTGCTCTACAGGAGGCTTTCAGTGCCTTTCATCCAGATCTGAAGTTTGTGCAGAAGTTTCTGAAGCCTCTACTGGTCGGAGAGCTGGCGGTGACAGAGCCAAGCCAGGACGAGGGAAAAAACGTGAGTCTTTACATTGAAACCTGATCTGAGTTTGCAGCATCAAACCCCCATTGTTTCAAGCTGAATAACATGTTCTTAATATTCTTAGTGCAACTGAAATTTTTTTGCTTTATTTCAACAGTTTTACATCTTAGTAAAGCTGTAAAAAACAAACAAACAAACAAACAAACTATTTTATTCTCTGCTTCCAGGCAGCCATCATAAAGGATTTTGAGTCTTTGCGCGCCCAGGTGGAGAAGGAAGGACTTTTTAAAGCCAAACCTTTGTTCTTCTGCCTCCATCTGGGTCACATCCTGTTGCTGGAGGCCCTGGCCTGGCTGATGGTCACGTACTGGGGGACGAGCTGGACGATGACGCTACTGTGTGCACTGATGCTGACAATATCTCAAGTAATTTAAACTCATAGACTATTTTTAATTTTTTTGTTGTTTAGAAGCTAAATCTCATGATGCTATTTTACCTTCTTCGGTGCAGTCACAGGCTGGATGGCTGCAGCATGACTTTGGTCACCTTTCTGTCTTCAAGAAGTCAAGGTGGAATCATTTGGTTCACAAGTTTGTCATTGGACACTTAAAGGTGACTGTGTAGGTTTCTGCCCTTTGAATAATTTCTGCATGGATGCTAACAGAGGGGTTTTTATAGGGCGCTTCAGCCAACTGGTGGAACCACCGACATTTCCAGCATCACGCCAAACCAAACATCATGAAGAAAGATCCCGACGTCAACATGTTGGCTGTCTTTGTACTGGGAAAGACTCAACCAGTGGAGGCAAGCAGCTGAAAGGAAAAATGTTTCACATGATGCAAACTGTCATGTAGCTGCTCACCCATCGCTGTCCTTCTCTCTGTCACAGTACGGCATTAAGAAGATCAAACACATGCCCTACAATCACCAGCACAAATACTTCTTTCTCGGTATGCTTGTTGGGAGTCATTAAAAGCTAATTAGAAAATTATAATAGCTTTCCAGGAATAATGAATATTTCTTTTGCAGTGGGACCTCCGCTGCTCATACCGATTTATTTTCACATGCAGATAATGAACACCATGATTACTCGTCGTGACTGGGTGGTAAGTTTTCCAGACACCGCGCGGTGCAGAATCATTACATAAGTCGGAATGGGATTTCAATTTAAGCCTACCTAAAACACATATTTGGCCACCACACAAGACGAATGACAAATGATTCTTCACAATAAAAAAAAGTTTTTAGATGATCTGAATCTTTTGTTTTGCAGGACTTGGCTTGGTCCTTGTCGTACTACTTTCGCTATTTCTACTGTTATTCCCCTCTGTACGGCTTTCTTGGCTCATTTGCACTCATGATGTTTGTCAGGTAAGTGTTCTGAAGAAAACTGAGAAAAATTGCTGGGTGAGGTCTGTTTTTATGTTTATTGTCAGTTAATTGTAAATGAGACAACACTTGATTTTAATTTTGTTTGTTATATTTATGCTAGTTCCACAACTGATGTTATTTCATTCTCAAAAGCATCATTCCATACTAATTTGCTATTGTAAAATAATTTCCCATTTTGGGCTTTTACCCCACATGAACACCATGTTTGCGTTTCATTGCTTGTTTTGCAGGTTTTTAGAGAGTCACTGGTTTGTGTGGGTAACTCAGATGAATCACATACCAATGGAGATTGAGTATGAGAAGAACCAGGACTGGCTGACCATGCAGGTGCCTGCTTTAAGAAAACCATATAACTGTCATAATAAAGATTTGTATTCTGCTGATGTTGCTTGTCTGCAGAACTCAACCTCCTCAAACAATTTGGCTCCTATAATCTGTTGAGCTGCTTCAAACACAGGCTTGATAATCATTTCAATCATACAAATGATGTGGCTTTGTAAGGCTAATTTACTGGGGGGGAAAAGTTGTATTTATTTTTTATTTACAAACAGAATAGTTTTGATGTTTTACTTTGAGTAATATGGCATATGTCGTAAATTTCCTTGGATGGGACTCTGCAGTTTTTTCTGCAGCTCTGAAGCGTATGTCTGTTTTAATGCAATCTTGGCAGCAGGTAATAAACCTAATCTCACCAGATTAAGATAGGAAACTATTGATAAAGTGTAGATATTGTGGGTTAATAAATGTGCCACGAGCCTGACCAAAAGGTTTCTTGTTCTCTGCTCATTAGTCTATTGCACCCTGTAAGCTGAAGACACTCATCAATACATGATCGTTGACTTGTAATCTGTGTACAAAGACTGTACACTCTAAATATTGACTTAGTTCAGGTTGATGCGTTTTACCGTGCTTTGTTTTATTGCTAGCTTTAATACACTAATTAATCTCGCCTATAAACTGCAGCTACCCAGCAGATGAACTAAGTCAAATGATGTATCAACATATCGAGAGTCTTGTCTCATCTTTTTCAGTTACAAGCCACATGTAATATTGAGCAGTCCCTGTTCAACGACTGGTTTAGTGGACACCTCAACTTCCAAATCGAACACCAGTAAGTCAAGACGATTTTGCGCGTCAGATGAGTGTAAGATTTTTCAAACTCGCGCAGAAAAATGCTGAGACATCACAAATGAGGATTCATCTGTTATTTATTGTCTTTTTCTTCAGTCTGTTTCCCATGATGCCGCGCCACAACTACCACCTGGTGGTCCCGCGGGTCCGTGCAATGTGTGAGAAGCACGGGGTCCCTTATGAAATTAAGTCTTTGTGGCGAGGAATGGCTGATGTTGTCAGGTAATAATTCACAGGGTGAATCTGCAAAATGTGTAAAAATAAAAATGTCCTTAATAAATATAAATATCATAAGAATAAATGCACAAATCCTTCTTTTTGTTACCTCTCATTATAGAAAACAGCTGCTTGTCAGATCCAAAATGTTTTGCGATTTACTAAAATTTAATTTTGTCTCCTTTTTTTCTCTTTTTTCTTAGCTCATTGAAAACTTCGGGGGAACTCTGGCTCGATGCGTATCTTCATAAGTGATGAAATTTTCTAAATGGACTGAGATTTTTCTCTATCCGATCTGTGTGGCTGAAAATCAAGTTATACCTCTGACTTTGTTGGTGTTAAATTAGAACTTTAGAGGGTTGTTTTTTGGGGGTTTTTTGTGCCTTTTTTAATAACAGAGTTACTATGTTTACCGTGCATGAAGCATTTATTATATTTCTTTTTTTTGATTAACCGTAGTGGAATGTGAACTGGACAATACAGTAAATTAATTTATTTTCTTGTTAAGAAAATCAATGAAAAATGAATAATTTTTAATACAGACAAACATAAAAGATTTTTTTTAATCCAAAACATACAATATAAACTTTCTTCTGTCAGTCCTTCAGCTGTAACTGTAATTGATCTTCGAATAAACAATGAAATGCTGACCTTCTCATGTACCTTCTTTTTTTATCTTAGCTGTTAAACTAAACCATGCATCTTTTTTCTTAAGGATAGTTTAGTTGACAGGTGTGCTAGAAATCTGCTTTGTTGCACCAGCAATGGTTGCTTTCGCAGAAAAGCATCAAATCATCTTTGAGCTGCATTAAAATGGTTTCACATGTGCAAAACTGCAGCTGCACCTGAAAGCGTCTTTGAGTGAAGAGACTGAATTACAGTTAGAAACGGCTCGCTTTTACCGTTTCAATAAGAAACCGAAAAATTGCAGTCAGTCTGAATTTGCTTCTGTTGCAACATAAGGCATTGCAGAAGTTACAACAAATTACATCTATAAATAAATCCTCTTTAAAGAAATTTTACACATTTGAATACAAAACCAAAATTTATTTAAAAAAATAATAATAATTGCGCAGTCATTGGTAATAAAGTGTATTTTACTGCTTGGTAATGTTTCAGGAATGTAAATGGTGGCAGAATTATTTAAAAACACACACGAAAACAACATTGACCTCACTCCTTGCACCCAAAACATAAAACCTTGCACATTTTATAAAGCTACCATGTTTTTCTCCTGAGAAATTCAAATAGCTGACTCATCGCAAAATGAATTATGATTTAGACAACATCAATAAAAGTAACACTGATGAATGTATTTGAAATATGTGGACTAGTTGTGGAAAGTTTGTTCTATATCAGGTGACCACGGTGACCATGGCATGACTGATTGTGCACCAGCCTTATCTTTATTTCTTCAGGAAAGTTTTGCAAAGGATAAAGGTGTGCATGAGTACAGAACATGATCTTACTGCATGATAAACTTGTGACCTATTAAAGAACTTTCTTAAGGTCCAGCATGACATGGCAGGGTGAGGTAATATTGCTCCTCATTAAATTTGTTTTGGACTTTGTGAAGCTTGCCATCTCGACCTGAGATGGTGCAAAACATCCTCAAAGCATAATTGATACAACTGCTTGATAAACATAAATTGACATTTTCAGCCATCACAAAGTAACACATAGAGTAGAGTGGACGGAAGATAATGCACGATATGGTTTTTTTTTTATCACCATCTATGCCGAGTCAACGCTTTGCAGAACCAACTTTTCCTGAAGTGTTAGCATCATTTCCAGGGTTTCTTAAGCCTACCACAAACAGATTAAAAAAAATCTATTTCTATTCTCTATTTTGTTTCCTTTTTTAAACCCTTTTATGTTGTAAAGTTGCTCAAGTAAAAACCGACTGAATTCAAAGCATCGAATGTCAATTTCCAAATCAGATTCCACATTGAATTTTTACAATCCAAAGAGGCATTTTTGCTCTTTACTTTAATGAATAAAATTGTACTAAGAACATGATCCAGTTTTCAAGAAAACCTAACATAAAGTCCTTGTTATTGTTGAATTAAATAGTAAATAATGTCTATTTAACAGATTTGGAGAAAATAAAAATGGCCTACTTTTACAGGAAGACAAAAAGGGCAATTTTATTTCAATGGAAAGCTCTGTATTTACGGAAAGTGAAGAAATAACATGTATTTTCGAACTTAATGACAAAATACAAAACCTAAAGAAAATATTTTTTCTATCACTAAAGCATCCACTAAAGCATCATTCTATTATTTCATGCTATGTAAAAGAAGCTTGAACTAACTAAAATAAAAACATGACCTTTTTTTTTACCTTAAAGTTTAATTATTTAATATTTACTTCTGCAGAGAAATTTTTTGCTATGTTCCCCTACAATCATCTAAAAGTTTCTAGCTTCACAGTTCTTTGCCAAGACTCAACAGCCCTTTGTTTTGACTCTCATTCTTAGCATCACTAAAATGTTTTAAACAAGTTTTAGACATTTTTCTTTCAGCCACATGATCATCAAAACTTGATGGCAAGTTTCCACGTGTTAAATTAATAATAAGGAGTCCAGCAAAACGAGAGGCTGAAATGCTGCATATCGGTTTATTTCAGTGAGTTACGCCCGGCAGTTGCTTCACTGCATTAGTTTATCGTTTTTCTGGGAAATGTCCAGCATCTCCAAAGTTACGTGAGACACACCTCCCCTGCTGATTATTTTCTCTTTGCGCTCTCAGACGACCCTGTATGTTTATTGCGCCCCTGATGCCAAGCCGTCTGAAATGGATGAAAGGTGCGCGCTGATTGGTCAGAAAACCTCGAATGATACGCTCGAAGTTCGCGCTGTGGAAGGAGGGTGACTAAGCAGAGGGAACGAACTGATGGCTTTTATGGTCTTTCTTTTTAAAAGTCGGTCTTTGCGAGGGGAGAAAATAACGTGAACAGGTCTGTGGACGTGACTGAAGTCCGGAGAAAAGCAACAGTGTAAGTTTTTATTATTATTATTATTATTATTATTATTATTATTATTATTATTATTATTATTATTATTATTGTTTTTCTCTAATGTCGCTTAACAACCAGACTATGTAAAAAGAAAAAAAAAAAGTTCTACGGCATACCTTTAAACCACATATTTAGAATGATTTAGAATGTACTATGCATGTTTGAAAAGCACCCAAAACGGCACATTTTCCTTTCTGCGTGTATGGTTTTACACAGATTTTTAGATGCATGCATGACTGCCTTTTAAAAACTAAGGTAATTATTAATTACGTCGCGCCGTTTTGTCTAACTTCATGTGTTTAGCGCCCAGCTGCAGGTTCCCGGATCCAGAGACAGCAGCAGCAGCAGCAGGAGAGAGGAGTATGGGAGTTGGAGGCCAGCAGACTGAGGCTGCAGATGTTTTCTCCTGGGAGGAGGTCCAGAAGCACCGCAGCAGAAATGACCGGTGGTTGGTCATCAGTCGAAAGGTTTACAACATCTCTCAGTGGGCCAAAAGGCACCCAGGAGGATCCCATGTCATCGGTCACTATGCCGGAGAGGATGCTACGGTAAGCATGCCTCCTCTTTAGGATGCAGTCATAAACTAACAGTTAACATAAAAGCTTATTAAAAAAAAGTACTGTCTGGTCTTTTGAAGCAGTTAGATATGCACTTTATTAAAACATTACATTGGGATTCAACAGGAATGAGAGAATATGAGTGGCTCATACAGTACTGCAGCTATTTAATATAATAAAAGGTACAGTTACAGAGCATTACAAAATTATTACTTTAGCGTCTGATTGCATGGTCTGACACAGTGGACACATTATTATCTCTGTGCTCCCAATGTTGAATAAGCTCTGCACTGGTGGTACACTTCAGGGGAAGACTCCTGTTATTTGGTGGATTTTATTTACATCCAGTTTCTTTGTGACACCTGAACCTGAAAAGCTGTTTTTTGAAGTGCAATATTCTTAGCATTAATTTCCCACTTCAGGTGAAAAGAAGGATGACTTGAGCATTAAATGTTGCTAACATAAGATGAAATTAATATATTACATCAATTTGACTGACAGTGTGAATGAAGCTGCACTTCTAATGGCAGTAAACAAGAGGAGTTTTTACATAGCAAATTTTCTTATATTATAAAGCTCAATGCCAGGAAATCATCTTCATCTGATCCCCCTGAAGTATTCAGGGGGATCAGATGACCCCTCTAAAAAATTACATTTTAAAAATTTAATTTAAAAATAAAAGATTTTTTCAATTACATTTTAAATGTAAAATCTTTTACTTTTACATTTAATTTTGAAAATTATGTTTTAAATTAAATTTAAAAAATAATTTTGTGCTATTAAATTTTACATTTTTATGTTTTGAAAATGTAAAATGTCCAAATAAAGGCTCAAGACCCACGATTTGTAAATATTAGCATTTCTAACAAGCTAACATGCTGTTAAAGTGTTATTGGGTCATTTACATGATTGAGGACGATTTTCTTTGCTGAACTTTTAATTTAGCCCTGCATTTTAGCATAAACAAAAAGTAAAAACAAAAACAACTGTAAGAGGGCAAACACTTTTTCACAATTATACCTCATGGAGAAACTTTTTTAGCATCAATACCAGAAAGACCACCAAAGAGAAAACTGTGCTAGCGATGACTGTGCTAGGGATCATGATAAAGGACCAACAACGGGCAAAGAACTGATTAGTGGCAGATGTTGAATTAGTGAGGAGACACAGTGACCCCCTGGGTTTCAAAATTACAAACTGTGGTGAAGGCAAGTCGTCAGATTTTTCTGCGGACATTTATTTATGCAAAGAGGCCAAAACTGTAGCTAAAAATGTCCCAATTTGCATAGATTGTAACAAGGTCGAAACTCCAGCTAGACTTGTGGCGGGTGGAACAACTTTATGAGGCTAAGGGTTTTAGCTTCTGGCCTTTTTAAAGGAAGGAAATACAAATCAGCCAGGGACATCCTTCACTTACAATAAGTTCCCAAAGGGAGGACTTGAATGGTGTTGTTGAATTCTTCAATTAGTGATCATTTAACATTTTTCTTATGATATAAATCTGACAATTATATTAAAGCCCGATATAATTTCCTTGTCACAGTTTGCCAATATAAAAGATTAAAGGTAAATATTTTAGCACAATGATCTTTGTTTATCAGGTTTTGTCATTCATTTGTTTTTATAAATATATCATAAAAGCAGAAGTGAAAATCAGAATGTGGTGGTGTATGAAATAACACAAGTTTGAGGAAAATATATTTTGTGTTACAGGGCATTTTCCTCTACTCCAAGCTGTACTAATAACATGATTTCTCTTTTATATTTTCCAGGAGGCTTTCACAGCTTTCCATCCTGATCAAAAGTTTGTGCAGAAGTTTCTAAAGCCTCTACTGATTGGAGAGCTGGCAGCGACAGAGCCAAGCCAGGACGGAAACAAAAATGTACAAATAATTCAAATCTTACAAGAATCTCAGATAACTCACACAATATTTACTCATTCACAAATTAGTTTTTTTTTTCATAAAAGGCATTAACAAAACATCGTTACAGCTTCCCTTTTCTCTGCCACAGGCAGCCATCATACAGGATTTTGAAACTTTACGCACCCAGGTGGAGAAGGACGGACTTTTT